CGTGGCTAAAGAAGAGGTACTTTGACAGAGGCATTTTAATTAAGTCTGATCTTGAGGTAAGGTTGAGTATCATTTCTGCGATGAAAATAAAAATGTGAAGACTAACTCCAGCTTCAGGGAAGGAAAGTTGTGTTTACCAAATTGCTTCCTCAGACCAAAGCCTTCCACTCCCACAGTCTGAGATCTGGTTCCAAAAGTCCCACTGTCCTATCTCCCATGTTTCTGGTATGCCTAAAAACTGAGAAAAAGGTGCAGACATGAAAACAGGAAATGCCAAAGAGAAACCCTAAAAGTCTAACAGTAGACTCAACCATCTTAAATAATTTGGTTAATAATAAGCAGGTAATGGCATTTTATTTTCTGTATTGCTGCTTTCATACAAAGTGCATCCTTGATTGCCTAATTATATAAAGCAGTCAAAACCAAAGATGGTGAGAAATGTGAGGGGATAAAAGAACATTAAGAAAATAGAAGATAAGCAAAGCAAGAACTGCAGGAAGGATGCTTCATCTGGCAGAAGTGATGGGAAAAGCTAAATGTGGGGAGGGAACAAAAGAGGGAGTGGAGAAGTGAGCCTCTCTCCAAGCCTTTCAGACACAAAGATTTGCAATACTGTCTCCAGATATGGACTGTCTATCAATTTTCCCACACCAAGACAGAGACACTACGACCTTGAACTTTAGGGGTGTTGGCAAAGACTATGGAAAGTGATTAGTGTCATATTTGGGTGCTTAGCTTAAGGCCTCTTAAAGAAGATGAATTATATAAGGTGAGTGTTCAGGAGTTTTAGAGAGTCAAGCTTCTTTAAAAGTTTGGTACCTGGTAGTCACTTTCGAAATTCTTGGCCACTGAACACCAGCAGCTCCTCATGACATCAGGACAGCTGTGGGTATTCAGAAGGTCCAGGACATAAAGCTTAAGGGTGTTGTGACATCTTATCTTTCCTACATTTTAAGTCTCTTAAGATGGGGAGTGTCTTCAGGTTATGGCAGGGTAAGATGAGCCATGTGGGCTCTATGCGTCTCAGGGAGAATCCTCTTCAGGCGAGGATTATTTTTAGCTTGTCTTAGGTAGCTTGTGTTGTAGTAAATTAGACTGTTCCACAAAACCAGTCTGAGTTGGAAGCAATTCTCCAGAATCCTAGGATGCACTGCTCCCAGCTCCACCCCCATGTGGATGATCCGTCCCCCAGAACATAACTGTCCTGGACTGACAGCCCGCAGCTGGGAGAGCTCCAAAGTAAACATTTCCCCCCACCCCCTTCCCTCTGCACTCCGAGGCACATCCCCTCCCATGCCTGTCCCTCCTCCTCCATTCTCATTTCTGGCTCACATTTATCCTCCCCTCCCCATGCCCTCCAGGGCTCTTTCACAGCTCCCAACTCCCCACCCAGCTGCAGCTGCCATCCCTGTCCTGGGAACAAGGGAAGCTCCTGTACCACTCCAGGCCTGAAGTGTGGCTAGCCTCAGCCCAAAAAGCAGTGGTGGTGGTAGTAGATGGGCAGATTCTCCCTCCCTGCCAGCTTCCTGCTGGTGGGAAACACCCAGAGACTGGGGTCAGCCCAGGAGAATGGCAGCAGCAGGTGGGTTCACCTACCCTGTATGCTTCCCCCCAAGGTGTTTTCCACCAGCTGGGAAGCAGGTAGGGAGGGAGAACCCACCCGCACACTGCCACTCTCTGGGCTGAGCCCAGTGTCCGCACAGCCCCTGGAGCTGGACAGGAGTTTCTCATCCCTGCGACAATGCCTGCAGCTGCAGGTGAGCAGGGAACTGTGATCTAGGGAACAGCCCCATGTGGCAGCAGGGAGTAAGCCCCGGAAGCTAGGAAGGGAAATGGGGGGAGGGGCTGGGGAATGAGCTGTGAGAGGTGGGGAGGGTAAGATATAGGCAGGGCATAGGTGATGCATGCTTCCTGTGGCTGGGGGGGCATGGCGACTGCCTGCAGGCAGAGATGTGGGCGTCCGTAGCAAGGGCGGGCCAAGTGGGGACCATCCACAGCTGGCCGCGGTGATGTCAGTGGTAGGGTCCCCCTGTGGCCAACTGCAGAGCCTGGAAGTGCCGGCAGCACACCTGGAAGTGCCAGCTGCACTTCTCGGGGGGGCACCAGTGCTCTGCCTGCTCCCCCTGCCCGTTGCCTAAGCTCATTCTCAGAGGGTGCACGTGTACCCCTATGCACCCCCTACGCATCACCTATGAGGCAGAGGGAGCTTGGCAGCTCCTAGCCGCGCTCCTGCTTGCTCTTGTTCTAGCAGCAAGTCCAAGCAGTGCAAGTCACAGAAGGTATTAACCCTTAATGTGTGACTGCTAAGAAAACATTATAATTTTAATGCTACTTAGCTTTAGCACATCCTAATCATAAAGCGTAACAAGACCCTACGTACTGCCTGAAGCTGGCACCTGAAATCCACAGAGAGACTTATGTGCTTAAGAGCAGGATCCAAGGAAGCATACATGCTAGGTCAGCGGCTGCCTAATTTAGTCAATAGGAAATGCCAAGATGGGTGTGTTTTCAGGACCTGGATGTCTTTCTGAGGTGTAGAGACCAACCTGTTTCCAATTAGGATTCACAGTCATGAACCATCTCCTGGAGTTATGCACCTATACCAGTCCTTTCCCCATTCTTCCTTCTTGGTTGTTACTTAAAGCTGGCTTAAGCTGCTCAGTTTCAAGTGCCCCAAAATTACATCAGCATGGGCAGCTGTTTACTACCTTGCTATTTTTTTTGTTGCTTTGCTCAGTTTGATTGGCTAATTCTTAATTTCACTAATATTAAATTAAACTATTTTATTGTACTAATAGCAGTGGTGCTCAATCTTTTTGGCCTCCGGTGCCAGGTCTGGTCACAGGCCAGATTTGGTCTGTGGGTCTGATCCAGCACACAGTGTTGGCCAAGCCAGGCCTGATGCTGTGTGGGATCAGCCCGCTAGGCTGTTAGCTAATTCCAGTTAAGTGACCATAACCCAAGTTTAAAAACTCTAAAAAACACCAATCCAATGAATTTACAGTTAAACATGTCTGTTTAGTGGCAGCCAAGAATGTGACAAAACAATTAAAAAGTGAAGTCCAGGCAAAGACCAACAATATATTTGGGTATATATTTGTGACAATTTATTTTAACAAAGACCAAAACAAAGACCTCAAACTTTTGCAAGGAAACACCAGCCTTTACTCTGAAATTCTACTTTGTCATGTTCAGAATGTTCCCACAGAAAAGGATTCTTAAATGAAATAGTTTTCCTTAATACATTTTTTTAAGGATAGGTAAGTCTGTGCAAGTAACTCAGAAAAGCTCTTTCGTTAATAGTTTGTCATAATAAAGGAGCAAACGCTACACATCACCATGATTCATCCATATAGTGGCAAACTTTAAAATACAGATTTTTGATCCAATAAGTAAAAACCTAAAAATCCATTTTAAATAATGTTAAAATTGACTCTTAATTTGAAAAAGTAAGTAGTAAATATATCCAAAGTTAGAAATATAAAACTATCAAATTACACTCAAAACAAGAGGAATTATGAGGATACAAGCCAGTACATCACTTGCTTAATTTAATTTTAAAATGCATTTATTCAATATATGTAGAAATTGCTTTTATCAGCAGTTGTTAATGTAAATTTGCACCACAGTAACCAATATGTACTGCAAAGAAAAAATACTTTGTCTTTAAAACCACACTGTAACATTGCCTAGGAAGATCTGAAGTACTTAAATCAAGAGAGCAAGCACACATCTATTTGCAATCTGATGGACACGGTATTTTGGCTTTGTTATTTTGGCTTTGCTGAAGAATCATTATAGCGTCACTGCCCCAGATCTAATAACTTTACAAATCTCTTGCATGCATGAAACTCCGACAATAATCAAACATACTAGAGTAACTTTGTCAGTCTTCTATCACAATATCTGTTAAAGTTCATTACTGCTTTTTAGATGCAAGACATTCCCTTCATATATAATTTTTAAAGAATGTACAAACTCAAAAATGTCACATTATTTCACTAGCATGCCATCATGCTGGGCCATACAAGAGAGAAACTGCTGTCCTGTGAATGCTTTGAGAACTGAAAATAATTACAAGTTTTAAAGTGTTAAAATATAAATGTAGTTGTTAAAATAACAGTTATATTTGTTTACTGGTTTCTCTTTTTATAATTTTTATTTAGGATTACATTGGAGATATAAGGCCTAATCTAAGGCTAAGTGTACCAAGCAAAGAGGTATTTGTTCAGTGTGAAAACATATGATTCTTCAGCAACATCAATGTTCTGGCAGAAGCCCCTAGTTTAGGTACTGCACTTACATGGGCAGTACAGCTTATTTCTCTCAAGATGGGCAGATGGGTGAGAAGTGGGCACTATCCTGGTACAAAGTACAGATCTGCTAGTATGTATTGGTAAATTCACACTAAAAGCACTTTGCTAGTATGCTATAAAAATATTCCTATACCAGTAATGAGCTCCCATGAACATGTATAGATATAGTCTAAGTCTGACTAAAATTAATGCATGTCTTTGACTAGCTCATGCTCATAATACTGTTAGAGACAGCAAATTTGCTCTCTGATAATTGCAAAGACCTAGCACCTAAAAGACCACTGAAAACCCATTGGTATATAAAAAAAATCCGTTTGTAAAGTATCACTTTACTTTTCGATGCCATATACATTAACTAAAAAAAATAGTTATGCCCCACCAAATATAACATTCGAAATGCCTGAATTAAAATATTACAGGAAGGGGCTCTATTTGTTTTGTACAATCATGTTGCTATTAGACAAATACATTATGTGTATATCCTTAATATAAAAAGTCATTGGATCTCCAACAAATACAAGTATTGATTGAGCGCATTATCAACTGTTCTGATCATAGCTGAGAAATGAAAAATAGGACATTCTTATGGTCTTTTTCATAGTTTTAAAAATAACTGTTCGTTTGAACCTCCCCTCATAGTATATAAAAATCATTTTGAAGCTTGAAACTGAAATATTTTCTTACCAAATGTTATTTTCTTCATCATATTCTCACAGAATGATTGAAGGTTGCTGATGAACACTCAGCTGCTGAAGAGAAAGAGAGAGAGTGCATGTCAAATTCTGGTCCTGTCAGCTCTGACAAGGGCCCCTTTAATGTTAAAACTTAACATTAATGAAAATGGTAAATCCCAAAATGCAGTTGCATTCAGTCTTTTTTTTTTTAATCTATGGGATTTTCATGGCTTTTCTGCAAGTGTATTTAAGGGGAGACAGGAAGGGGAGAAAAATATACTAATCATTTAGATATGTAGCAAATTCTCTGAAAACATTTCTAATAGTTAGAAAAGTGGAGCTTTATCTTGCAGAGCAATGAACTTCAATATGCTCCTGCTGTGTCTACATCTTCAGTGGAATCATTGTCCATCACTGTGTATTAGTTTGGGTAGGGGGCTTCATCTGGCCAGCTGCTTGGTGAGTATTATCAGCACTTAAAAGTTGGACTGACTTAAAAAACAGATGTGTAATATTCCCAATGGGGTTTCAGAAGTAGTGGTTTAGGTTTTATCTTGTGGAGCATATAAAATGTTATTCTACCTAGCAGATACCAGACTAGGAATAAAAAGATTTTGGGACGTTTATACACACACACACACATATATATATATACATACACATATACACAAGACACCTTATAGTTTTACATGCTATCATACTTGTTGTCAAATGTTGAATTAATAAAACAGCCCCACCACTAATTAAACTTCTTTGGAAGGAGTAATCAAGTAACACCTCTGGTGTCAAAACAGGATAAGTAAAGGGGAGGGCAAGAACACACTTCAGATATCCCTGTTATTCTGAAGTATTTTAAATACATACTTTAAAAAAATTCTGATGCAGTTTTATAACTCTTTCTGTTGAGGCCACTGAAATACTTCATAGCAGGAAAAGAAGACCATTTCCAGCCACCACAGAAGTGGAATTTAGTGAACAAATTCATCCACAAAATACTAAAATGTTCATTGTGAGCCAAAAGAATTGTAGGCTAAACACAACACTGAAACAGGTCAGTTGTCATATGCAAAAATGCACATGAAAGCAAATGATGAAAAACATTTTTACTGCTGGTATCACCAGTGTTCTAACATAATTCTACTACAACAACTTTCAGTTGTACAAAAATGCTGTACAACACTGATATTTGCCCACTGATAAACACTGATGTGCTAAAGTCTTTAGATATGTGTTATGACTAAAATGGTCAGGTACCTTACCTGTGAGTAATTTTATACACATATGGTAGTGTAAGATGAATTAGCTAGACATGTCTGACTGATGTTTCACAGTATGAATTTTTAACTTATGTTTTAGTGAAGACTAAGCATTCCAGGAGACAGCTTGGCATGCACATACTTTAGATGATATATTGCTATCACTGTTAGTACAGTACTACTATTAATTAATATTAACAGATATATTGTAGGAGAGTTGACCAGCCAAAGTTAAGAACCCATTGCTGTTAGCCGTAAGCATATGAAGGTGACAACCCTAATGAGAGGTAGTTAGCCATGTTAGTTTGAATGCAGACAGAAGTCAGGCTCTATGCACCTTTACAAACTAAGACATAATCGAGAGAGCACAAGAACTTGCATTCACAACAGCTTGTGATTTCTCTCTATATATTGAATTTAGTCTATAAAGTTGCATATCTACCATGTTTTAAACTCTGGTATAAGAATTATCATGTAACTAATATAAATTGTACATATTTTTTTCTGTTTACAAAGTACTCATGGGCTTTAAAGATTTTGGTGCTGTTTCATGGTAAGTTATTCATACAGTAACTGTACTGTTCTTAAAATATTTAAGTGACATTGGGCAAGTAATTTGTTACATATACATATACATTATTACACTGTAATCCTAATATAATTCATGAATATAAACTAGGAGGAGGAATACAAGACATTAATCTTAAAACAGCTCACTACATTAGAACCTTGAATGTACCTCCTTTTCCATAACTCCTAAAATTAAATGTACAGATGTGTATTTGAAATAATAAAAGAAATCACTGATAGCTTTGAAATCAGGTATATTAACTAACAAAAAGTTAGCCTTATCATAAAGTTTTTTGAAGAATGCCACAAACTATAGGTATAAAATTTGCATTTAAAATAGACAACTGTCAAATTAAGTTTAAATTATTTTACCCACTATCTTAAGAATTGCTTTACAATCATGAACCCTGATGTCAAAAGCAGATATTGACAAAAATAATTATTTAGCTGTTAGAACAAGAAGTGCTAGGTTTATATATTTTGTAATATGTTTACTACCATTTCAGATAACAAAATAAGAGTTAAAGTACACTACCAAAGGGCTAAAATATGAAGGCAGTTATCAAAGTTTGTGAACAAACCTTTTCATTTAGAATCTACATGTTTATAAGACAAGTTTGTTACTGATCACTACAGATGATTCAGTTGCAACCCCTCTAAAACATGTCATCAATTTAAATACTAGATATTTTATGAGTTTTCCTACATTTTGGATTAATAGTTAAAAATGGCATTCTCTCTGTCTCTGACTCACTCTCTCTCACTCTCACACACACACACACATTGACAATCAAGCCTGAATATGTACACAAGAATTTTTGAGGCTCACCAATTAGCAATTTTTAAATTAACTTTAGCATTAAATAACATCTTGAACACTCAGGATAGAGACTTCTGCAATAGTGCATGAGGGTTGTAAATTATAAACATTTAGTTTACTGTGCCAAAGTCTGCCTTGATTTACACAGGTTCTTGAAACCCACAGACTTCAGGATGTGGCCACATTTGGTTTGCTGTAACCTATGAAAATACATATTTTTAAAGATAACGTGTTGGTAAAACTTTCTATAGCTTTTGATCTCTCTAATCTCAATTTAAAAAGAAAAATATGGTGCGGGAATCTTCATGCAAACTTCACCGATCCGTAGTCTGACTGTAATACTAAGGAAGAATCTAGCATTTGCCCTGAGGGACAGGGAGAAGAGGGAGGATTATGTACTAGGGTGAAATTGGATTCTCATCCTGTGTTTCACAAGTTGCCACATGAATAAGTAAGCCTAGAAAATAAGGGTCAGGTTCAAAAGGTATTTAGGCAGTAAAATTCCACTATGGAAAGGAGTTTAAATCCTGTTCCCACTGAGGAGGGTTAGGTGCCTAAATAGCTTTCGTGAATCTGGCCCTAAAACTTTAATCTGGACTTCAATCTCTCCAATCCGTAAAACAGAAGCAAGATTCCCTTGAAATTGGATCGTACAGTTACTGCTCCTTGGAGAATATAATACTGTTCGCATTCTTAGATTTCTGTGCATTGTATTCAGAGTTTGACTATTAAACAGCAAACTTCAACACAGCCATAGTTCCTGTAAGAAGGTTTATTGAATTTAACAGTTGAAACTGAGTATATGCAGTTTATATAAAAAAGCATTCTGTTTTCATGTAAACTGCAATCAAAAGTAACTTTACAAAATGGTCAGCGTGTTACTGAGGTTGTAAGTTTCCCCTAACATGTAAAACTATAAAGTATTTGTGCATGCTTACTATCTTATTTGCTTCTTTGTACAGAGGGATTTGTTAAAAGAAGCTTTGTTAAACCGGTAGATAGTCTATGGAATTCGGGTTTTTGTTTCTTCACAATTAGGATACATAAGAACAAAACCAGTATTGATGAGTATAACATATTTTTTCCCAAAAAAGGCTGAGGCAGCTTTTGTTGAATGGTATCTGTATTGGTGCATTCTAAACGCTCCAGTGCATTGGGAGCATCTGAAGAAAGAAAATCCTTGTTTCCTTTTCGATTTTGAACTTCTTTCCCCAAACAAGCGTTGACAGTGAGTTCCAAAGTCAGGTAGGGGGAGAGGGAGTAGCAGCATATTTCTTATGTACAGCCCAACACCATGCACAATTGCTCAATATCTCAGGATAACAGAAAACAATAATGAACTTGACATCACATGGAGGCATATTCCCCGCATGGCACAAATAATAAGTCTGTCATTTCTCTGGGAGAGGGGAAGCAAGCATGGGGGTAAAGCTTAAGTCTACATTTCATGCATAGCTATTGTGCATTGTCTTGCTTTTTCCACAGCTTCCTCAGACATCTGAGTTGGAGCTGAGGTTTGTCAACCTGGGGTCTGCGTTGATCTCGTATCTGTAGTGATATCCCTCCATGTGATCCCTACACGCATCCCTGATATTGTGCATCCACTTTTTGATTCCTTTTCGGTTCAAATACAAAACCAGGAGAAAAATGGCTCCGATGAGGGCCAGGACTATTCCTAGGAAGACGTAAGAAGTCTGGAGCTGGGACTGGATGTCAACTGGCAGGGAGCAGTTCAGGTCTGAGCTGCGGATCTTCACCAGCGTCTTGTTCAACAGGCCGTCAGGGTAGGAGCAGCTCAGCGAGCTCTTGCCCTCCACCTGGTTGCTCTCCTTGAGCCAGTTCACCATGTCCTCGATGTTACAGTCGCAGACCCAGGGGTTGCGGCTGAGGCTGATCCTCTGGAGCCTGGGCAGGCTGCGGAGCTGGGAGAGGGTGGCGTTCTTCAGGCGCATGAGGGAGTTGTCGCTGAGGTTGAGGCTCTCCAGTTGGCGCAGGCCCTGGAAGGACACGTTGTGCAGGCTCACCAGGGAGTTGTTGCGCAGGTCCAGGTGCTGCAGGCTGGGCAGGGCGGAGAAGATGCCCTCGGGCAGGGAGAACATCCCGTTGTCAGCCAGGTCCAGGCGGGCCAGGCTGGGCAGCGTGCCCCCCTGCAGCAGGGCGGCCACGGCGCTGAGGTTGGCCAGGGCGCCAGCGAGGCTGAGCTCCCGCAGGGCGCTGCTGGTGTTGCCGAAGGCCCGCGGGCTCACGGAGTCCAGCGGGTTGCCGCGGAGGTCCAGCTGCCTCAGGCTGGGCAGGGGGGCCAGGGCGTCCGCCTCCACGGCCCGCAGCTCGCAGCTGCTCAGGCTGAGGTCGTGCAGCTCGGGCAGGGCCGGGAAGGCGGCGGCGGGCAGGCTGCCCAGGGGGTTGCCCGC